GAATATCCTCAATGTGATAAGAGAATTCTCTACCAACTCAAAGTCAGATGACAGATTTTAAGAGAAAATCTGTCCGTCAACTCATCATACTGCCCCATAAGGAGCTGCCTAACAGAATCCCATTTAGGAAAAGCCCAGATGAAAATGCTCCAACTTACAACAGAAGCAGAGGAGCCCTTGTCTGCATCCATTTGGTCTGAAACATGGGCAGAACCAGCAAGATGAAAAGATCAAATTACAAGGAAAAGCTGACCCCAGAGGAAAAAGGAGAACCTGGGGACCAGTAGAGAGCAGCCAGGGCTTGGCTCAGAGGGACTCAGACAGCACAGCCCTCACCATGGACAGAGGATGGTGAAAGCCGATGACTCCAGTGGTCCCCTGAGCAACGCCCCCTCCAAACGCCAGTACATCAACAAAGAGAAACAAATCCACAAGGAAAAGGAGAAGAGGAGAAGAAACAGTAGCCAGGAAACTTCAGACAGCACGCTGTAACTGAGCCACCCAGGGAAAGAAAGTACAGCAGCAGCTCCTGTGCCACAGCTTGAGGCCAGCGGCCTGAGGTGCCAGGGACAGCCCAGGACAGAACGGAGGTGGGGCTGAAAACAGGAGTGGTCCAAGGTCTCCAGACCACAGCCCTGTGCCAATCCAGGCAGAAGACTAAAGGCTTACTCGAGAGTGGAGAATACAGTCCACTGGCCACATCTGGGGTTTTAAACTTAAATTTTAAAATTCAAAGAAAACAAAAAAATAAGACAAAATAAGACAAAATTCAGTTCCTCAGACATATGAGCCATATTTCAAGTGCTCAACAGCCACATGTACCTAGTGGCGACCTTACCAGACAGACAGCACAGATCTAGAACATTCCATCATCACACAAAGCTCTCCTGGATGGAGGTATCCCAAAGACAGTGGGTTGAAGGGCTTAGAGCTGGAAGCCAGCCTCGGTGCCTGACTCAAAAGGGAATTCTGGGTTAGGAAGACCACTACAGGACCCTCCCCATGGGGCCACCAGACTCCCCTCACCATGGGGCCGAGGGACACAGCAGCCAGGCATGTATTCCCCAAGGAGGAAAACCTAACCAGTAAGACAACTGTGAAATTCACCCAACTAAGGACAAGCACTCTTAGAAAGTAAAAATGACTGTCAAAATAATTCAAGAACATCTTCTTTGTGCAAAAACAAAGATCTGAAAGTAGAACTATAAAGGAAAAGGCTTAGGGACCCACAGGATCACTCCTGGAAATTCAATAGCCAGTTCACAGGCACACCAGGAGGAAGCAGAGGAGAGATGCGATCAAAAACACACCAGAAGCAAAGTCCCCTGTACCAAAAGATGCAAGTGTTTAGCGTAAAATTGTCCAGCTAATGCCTAACATAAGAAGAGAATGGAATTGTAGCCACAGAGGGGGAAGGGGAGGGTGGGACAAATTTAGACAGGAGCACTGACATATATATACTACCATGCGTAAACCAGACAGCTACTGGCATGCTGCTGTATAATGCAGGGAACCCAGCCTGGTGCTCTGTGATGACCTAGAGAAGTGGGATGGGGGGAGGCAAGGTGAGACGGAGGCTCAAGAGGAAAGGGATATATGCACATACTTATGGCTAATTCATGTTGGTGTACAGCAGAAACTAACACAACTTTACAAAGCAATTATCCTCCGATTTTTAAAAAATTTAATAAAAACACTTAAGAAAACAAACAAAAAAAAGGCCAAGAGTGAGTCATACACTCCTAAAATATCAAGCTCTAGAAACTTTCCAAGGCAAAAAAGGCTCCTGAGAAAGAAACTCAGACAAGGACTTGGCATAACTGGATGAGAGACTATGGACCCATGCCCTCCATCCCACCCAGCCAAACAGGCATGAAATGTATGTATTCTGCCCAAGATAGCGGAGAGTTCAGAATTCTTACCTTCCACAAAACCTGCTGGTTACTTAAAAAAGAAAAATCAACACACACAGCACCAGCCCACTTTTTCAAAGGCACCTGTGTGCACACTGAGGCTAACTGTTGGTGCCTCTCTGGTGATCTGAGATCTCCACAGCCCCGCGGGCAGGCATCACTGATGACCACATATCACACGTGAGGAGACTCAGGCATAGAGCAGCTCAACCACAGAGCTAGGACATAAATCCAAGCGGTCCAGCCCCAGGGCTGGGACCCTAACCACCACCCCATGTTTCCCTCAACATAAGTTACTATCACTACCTTCCTCCTTCCCAAATTCACTTCCAGGAGGAGGTGTTACTACTATTGGCTGCAACTAACAAGAACAACCTGGGCAGTTTATCCTGATAGTCTCAGCTGGTGCACAACCACGTGCGCGCGCACACACCTGTTCCAAGGCCTCTGTAATTTATCTGTCAATGATCAAAGTCTCAGCTTCTGTTCTTACCTAGGTGTGGGTCCAACAGGTGAGGCTGCTCCTGATATTTGTCCATTATTACTAAAAAGAAAAACGTGAGACTTAACATGAGCCCTGGAAACCCTCAAGTTTTCCCATACGGGCTTTCCCAGGCAGCTCCCAAGAGCACAGGCCAGCTGGAGTGAGCCCCCCACCACCCGCCTCCTCAGGGCCACACCACCCCGGCCTCTGCTGTGTGCTCAACGCACCTTCCTCTCAGGTCCTCACTCCTTCCTTCCCTCACTGCCTGCTGAGAGCCAAGCTGAGTTCTCCCCTCCATTAGGACACACACCTTCCATTCTCCCTCTGTCACACACATCAAGCCACGTGCCCTGCGCGACCCCTCATACTCTGGCCTTAATCCCAGGCAGCCTGGTTTCTACTCCCTCCTCCCAGCAGCTAGCACCGTTCCTATCAGATCCACGCCCACCTGGCCTATGGCAGTTCTCATGAGCCTCACACACCTCCACATCTGACCACTCCCCATGAATGGGAAAGCCGGCTTTCACTGCTTCCTGGATTTTCACCTCACCCTCAGGACAGTTCCGTGCCCAAAGTATTTTCAGTGCTAACCCAAGCAGCCAGCCAGAGAAACGGGCACAATCAAGCAACCAGCCCAAGTAGCAGAGCGGGATTCGAACCCAGGGAGGAGTTGCTCAAGGGAGTGCTCCTTCTACTCAGCCGGCCACACTGCCCTTCCTGAACTTAAAAATTGTTATCACGAGTGCACCAAGGCAAAATCATGTGGAAATTTCTATAGCTAGAAAGGTCCCCAAGGACGGTTTTACTGAATCACAAAACCCTACAGTTATCTAACCACGGGATCTTAAGGAATCGTTTGTAAGTTATCCGTTATAGACAACGGCAAGGGTCTGTCTAAACCTGGAGAACCTAGTCTGACTAAGCATCTTGCGCTGCCCGTAGCTCCGCTACTGCGCTGGGCTGCACGCACGGTCTTGGCAGAACCACGGGCGCTGAGGAGGCGGCTCTGGGTGGGGCCTCTCCTGCTCCCACTGCCCCGTTCACACAGCTGTCTCGGAGGAACTGCGCTTTGCGGTGGTCCCAGGACAGGGTGGGGACAAGGACTGGGAAATAGCCCATCCAGGGGAGCTCCACCATCCCTACTCGTGACGGTGGAGGCCCACTGCCGTCCACCTCTTAGGCACGCCCGTGTCTGGGGCCGCAGGAAAGGAGACTTGCACACCCTGCACGCTGTTCCCCTCCTCCGACCCGTGCGCACCCCGAAATCGCTCCAGGGCGCCCTCCCGGGCCGAGCGGTCAGAGAGCACTGCCGGCAGGCGGCCGAGCAGCTCCCGCGTCTCCGCGCTCTCGCCAAACGACTCGAGGGCGGCGCCGCAGGCCAGAGCCGCGTCCTCCGCCGCATCCTCCACCGGGTCCTCCGCAGGGTCCTCAGCGGCGCCCGCGGCCGGCTCCTCGCTCAGGGCCATCTTCGGCAGCCAGACTACACCCGCGCGCGGGGTGCAGGCCGTGGGACTCGGGGCGTGGGACACTGGGCACGCGGCGCTAGGCACGGGACGCTCAAGACGCCTGAGGCTGAGAAGGCGGCAATAACGCCAGCCCCACCCCCACGAACTCCGACCTTGCACGCCAGCCCCCGCTACGGAACGCGCCGGCCACCAAAAGAGTGCGCGCGGAGGCCGTGCCAAGCCCAGGTGGGGCAGGGCCCAGGGGACAGGGGCGGGGCGGGGAGGGGCGGGGCGGGGAGGGGCGGGGCGGGGCGGGGCGGGGGTGGAGCACAAGACTCCGGCCTGGCCGCGCCTCCTTCCCCGCGCACGCGCGCTGAGCTTCTCCGTGACCGCCGACAGGTGTCGGGAATCTTTCTACAATACAAAGCAGCCCACAGGTGCGCAGGCTGCAGTGGGAGATGGGCACTTAACAGCGAAGGGCTGACTGGGCGCTCGTAACGCCCCGAAATAATTGGTGATGTGAGCGGCTCCGTCTTCACTTGGGTGGCCGCGGGGCCCGGCAGCCCCGCCCTTCCACGGTGATATCCCGCTCACCCTGGATACCCCACGCACCCACCAGGGCACACCCGCTGCCCAAGGGTCCCGCCCGCCCCTTATCGAGCAAAACTAGCAACTGCAAAACGGAGCACGGAAGAGGGACAGTGGCTCCAGCACTTGAGGGGTAAGGGGGCTTTCTCCCACCCGTCCACCTAAGTAAGGGTGGACTTGGACCCAGCCCCAGAGCCACTGCTCAAGAGTTGGGCCCATTTCATGGTCCCCAACTCTACCTAAGCCAGAAACAGGAGCCCTGAGTCCACGGCGGGGACTGTGACACCAACTTCTGCCTAAGCAAACCCTAGATCTGTGTGAATTTCTGTACAATTGTCATGGAAGTATCCAAACTCCATGTTCCCCCTAGATTGGATTAGGTGATGAGCCTGTCAGAGAACTTTCAGGTGATCTGGGCCCCCAGGAAAACTACCCAGCGCATGGAAGACAGAGACGCAGGTGAAACTAAGACACACACAGTTCCCTCCCTGAAACCCCCATGGGCTTTATTTGTCCCTGAAACCGCCTTGGTCCCTCGCAGGCAGCTGGGCAGGGGACGCAGACGGGCTTTTATTTGAGAAGCTTCCTCATGGTGCCCAGCGATGGGCTCCTGTACTGCCTACCGAAGTGGTTCCAGTGGTTCAAGTAGTTAAACAGCTGATAGAGCAGCAGCCTCCTGTCAAACCCTGGAGCCTTGGGGACCTTCTGATGGTAGGCGGTGAAGAAAGGCCTGGGAAACCCCCCGAACATCAAGGCAATTGCCAGTTCAAACTCAGAATGGCCGTAGAAGGAGGCTGGGTCATAAATAATGGGCCCGCTGTCATCCTCTGCCACATTTCCCGACCAGAGGTCCCCGTGAAGAAGGGCAGGGACAATCTCCAGACCACAAAACAAATCTGGAATCTTCACCTAAGAAAATAATTATGGTACATAGAGTTATCACAGGCCTGGGAGCCACAGTCTCCTCATCCGATACTTGGAAATAAGGTAAAGAGGACCTTGTGTTTACTCAGAGTCCAACCACCACTGCCTACTAAGCCCAGAGATAAAGATCCTCTGACTCCAGGGGAATGTAATTTTGTTTTGGTATTTACTGCTAATTTAGGTCTAAAAGCTCTACAAAATTAGTAATTGTCATACAGTAGAGAACCTCGGAGGTTATGGTTTTATGGTTTTACCGTTGTGTAGAATATGAACCTGAGTGAAGTTTTTTGTATGTAACTTAGCAAACTTTCTCTGCTATTCTTTTATTTCATAGTGCATATATATCTGCACCTTTTTGTAGCCTGATTATTTCAGTAAGAAATTCAATAAAATTTCTTTTATGCGTGCTCATGAGGGACTGATATGCGAGTTCTGTTTTTAACATCTTGAGAGTTCTGTTTTGAAGCCAGTCATTCTGGGGCACCTGCTGTTCACACCTGCTCTAAAAGGTAAGACATTTGTACCTTGGTGGAAAGAACAGCATAAGAGTGGGCAAGAAAGTAGTAGTAAATGCCACCATTCACAAGTCAAACACTTACATTTCTCGTGAGCAAAGTTTGAGGTTAAGTATCTGGTGACCCAGGAAGTGAGAGATGCTTTCAGGGGCCACCCTCTTCTCAGTTTCCCCATCAAACCAAAAGTCAGGGCACTTATGTGTCCATGATTTGACCAGCCCTGCTCCAGGTTCAGTGGTCCCCTCTCTGGCTCTGCTCTAGCAGAGCCCCAAACAAGTGTGGTGGTAAGGCTCCTAAGAGGACAGTCCTTCTCCCAGAGGATAGCTGCTGTGCCCACCTGTAGCTGTGACCAGAGTTCTCGTGCCTCTCGGTCAGCATAATCCTTCTCAATGAGGTCCAGCTGTGATTGGAGCCGGTGCCGGGTGAAGAAGGTTGGCCAGTCATCCTGCCACTCGTTCACCTGAGCGACAAGGGAAAGGAAGGGGCAGCTGCAGCTGATGGTCACAGAACAGAGTTATGCATGGAAACTGCCTAAACCCTAGAGCAAACACTAAAAGAGCACAGCAAATGTTATCATTGGCCAACAAGGGAGACAAGATGAAAGCATTAAAAAATACTTAGTTAATTCAGAAGAGGATAAAGGGGGAACAAAGAACAGATAAGACATTAAAAAGAAGAAATGACAAGACAACAGATCCAAACCTAACCATATCAATAAGTACATTAAACATGGATGGTCTATAGACCCCAGTTAAATGACAGATCAACAGGTTGAAAAAATAAAGCAAGACCCAATTATAAGCTGTGAATAAGACATGCACTTTATACATAAAAGCAGAAACAGGTTAAAAGGATAGAAAAGATGAATCATGCTAACACTAGTCAAAAGAAAGCTGGAGTGGCTATATTAATATCAAAGTAGATTTCAGAGCAAAGACACTGACTATAAAGTCATTTCCCAATGGAAAGAGAGTCAACTAATGAGTAAGACATAATAATCCTAAACATTTATGTCCCTAATATATAGCAAATAAGCACCTAAATAGATGCTCCACATCCTTAGTCATCAGAGAAAATAGAACTTCACTGAGATACCACTTCACAATCACTAGGATGGCTACAGTTTTAGGAAAAGGAATATACCAAGTGTGTGACAGTACAGAAGACCTGGAACTTTCTACACTAGTGGTGTGACTGTAAAATGATATAACCACTTTGGAATATATTTTGACAGTTCCTTCAAAAAGTTAAATGTGGTGCTTCTCAGGTGGCTCAGTGGTTAAAAAAAAAAAGAAAGAAAGAAAGAAAATCAGCCAGCCAGTGCAAGAGACATGGGTTTGATCCCCGATCCAGAAAGATCCCACATGCTATGGAGCAACTAAACCCGTGTGCCAGCACACTGCAACTAGAGTAGCCCCTACAGCAATGAAGACCCAGCACAGCTCAAAATAAGAGATAAATGTTTCTAAAAAGTTAAAAATGAACCTACATATGACCTAGTCATTGGTTCCTAGGTATGAACCCAAAATAAATGGAAGCATTTGTTCACACAAATTCTTGTACACAAAAGTGCATAGCAGCTTTATTTGTAAAAGGAAAACTTGGAAACAACTCAGATACCCATCAACCAGTGAATAGATAAACAGACTGTGGTTTATTGTACAATGGAATGGACTTTTGGCATGTGTAACAACATGGATGAATACTGAAATGATTGTGCTGAGTAAAAGAAGCCAGACGAAAAAGAGCACACACCATATGATTTCATTTACGTTAAATTATGCAAAATGCAAACCCATCTATGGTGACAGAAAACAGATCGGTGGCTGCTGGGGCAGGGAAGGGCAGGAGGAAGACATTACAAAAGGGCAGAAGGACACTTTTGGGGTGACACTTTTCGACACACTGACCTAACTGTGGTTAGTGGTTCACAGGTGTGTACACATGTCAAAACTTACCAATCTGTACACTTTAAATATGCGCAGTTTATTTTATGTCAACTATATACCTTAATAGAGTTTTTTTTTTTTTAAGATGTAAAGCTTATTTTATACAAAGGGTTACTTAATGAAATTCCTTAAGGGAAGAACTTTCCAGACAACATGCACCCCCAGTCAGCATCCTGTGCTGAGGATTGTGGTCACTGAACCCCTGGGTTCATCCCCTTGGTGCACCTCAAGAGAAAACGGGAATTCCCCTCCCCAAACAGCCTAAGGCATATGGGATGGCATGCCCTCCTGCCCCATCTCCTGCCTAGGCCCATGGTGTCCCAGCCTTGGTCTTCCTCCTAGATGACTAGGTCATAAAAGACACAGACTGTGTTTGGAGCTGGAGACCGGCATGGCTAGCCCTCCACCTGGACAGAGGGGCCCCTCTGCTTACCAGCTGCATGACTAGACACCACCTGGCTTCTCTGCACACATCATTTTCCCCATCTATAAAATGAGTCAGTGAAAACCTGCTTCCTGAGGTTGCTATGGAAACTAGGGAGCTGAATCAGACACGGCAGCGAACAAACTCTGCCAGTATTCCTACCAAGCCAGTGGTCCCAAGGGGGCTCAGCTCAGGGTACCATCATTCAGAGTTGCCACATCAATGGCTGAAGCCCCTTAGGGCCCACTCAGTCGTCCCAAGGAGCAGGAAGCTTCCTGAAACTTCAGGCTGGACTATCCAGGCTGTGTCCATCAGACGCTACGCCCAGGACCATCTTGTCACAGCACAAGGAGGTGGGCCAGGGGTCCTCCCAGGTCTCCCACCCCTTCCTAGCCAGGCTGCAGCTAAACTGCTGCTGCTGCTGCTAAGTCACTTCAGTCATGTCTAACTCTGTGCGACCCCATAGACGGCAGCCCACTAGGCTCCTCTGTCCCTGGATTCTCCAGGCAAGAATACTGGAGTGGGTTGCCATTTCCTTCTCCAATGCATGAAAGTAAAAAGTGAAAGTGAAGTCGCTCAGTCGTGCCCGACTCTTAGTGACCCCATGGACTGCAGCCTACCAGGCTCCTCCATCCATGGGATTTTCCAGGCAAAAGTACTGGAGTGGGGTGCCATTGCCTTCTCCGCAGCTAAACTAAGTTGGTTCATTGATCCTAGATTCTGATGGGGGTGCTCAGTGGCTGCCTGTGTCCCTAACAGGCCAGTTCCATCCTCACCAGCTTCACACATTGGGGTTCTGTGTACAAGTTCATTCCTCAGTTCTTGAAATGTCAATGTATGAGGTCAACCGGGCCTTTGTAGACTTGCATTCTTAAACTCAACATCTGAAGCAGGACAACAAGCCACATTTGGCCACACTGGCCTGGGACCACTATTGTGCTGGTCACTAGCTCCAGATGGGTATGTAACCCCAGGGGAGCTGGCTTCAGCAGAGATTCATAGGGTCTTAATAAGCCTGGTAAACCACTGGGTACAGTTCTAGGTACCCCAGATCTGAGGGCTGCCCCTTGACTGAGATCCCTAAATCTGCCTCCAGCTTCATAAGGATTTTGCTCCTAGTGACTCTGCCTGGGAGAACAGCCCTCTGCCCACACTGGGGAGACACAAAAGGCTATCTACTGTGTGATTCCATTTATACAAAATGTCCAAATAGGCAAATCCTAGAGAAAGAAAGAGATTGAGGCAGGCAGGGAAATAGGAAGTGACTACTAATGGGTATATGGTTTCTCTGGGGTGATAAAAACATTTCAGAGTTAGGTAGTGGTGATGGTTGCATAATACTGTGAATATAATAAAAATCACTGAACTGTACAGTTTAAAATACTGACATTTACGTCATCAAATTACACCTCAATAGTATTAATAATTTTTAAAAGCCCCAGGAGAGGGGATAAGTGACCAGGGCTTAGTCCCTGACCTCAAATGCTGCCCCCCTGGCTTCCGTCCCTCACACTTAGCACATGCCCTCCTGTGACATGGCCTTTGCACCTGCTGTTTCCTCTGCTTAGAATGCTCTTCCACCTGCCCCACAGCTCCTTGCCTCCTCTAAGTTCAGTTTAGTGAACCTGAATATCAACTCTCCCAGCTCACACTCTGCTTTCAGGAATCAGGTAGTCAGACTTCCTTATGCCCAGGGGACTGGCACTCTGTTAGGCACAAGGGGTGGGGTGAGCAGCCCTGGAGTATCAGGAACTAAGCAGGCGCACCCTCGCCCAGGCACTCACCTGTGGGATGAAGCCGCAGCAGGTCACTGTGTGGAAGCCGAACTTGGTCACATACTGGGGCCCAGTACCCTCGGCCCTCTGGCCTGTTAACAGAAAGAGCTGCTTGTCTTTCTCTTAAATGTCAGACCTCAGCAGAGCATCAGGACCACACTGTTAGGATATAGGTGGCTGAGGAAGTACTCAAGAACATTGTGGGGGCACATTGCCTGCCACATCCTCCCAGGTCCCTGAGCCCCACAACAACCCAGCCTTGGGACCCAAGCCTGCCCAGTTTCCAGGGATGTAATACCAGCCAAGGTCACCACGGGATGATGTGGGAGCAATTGGTCCACACACAGACCAGCCAGCACATGCCTCTCTCTAGCACACTGGACAATAGGGCTGGGTATAAAGGGGTCATGAGCCAATTCTACTAGCTTATCATCAAAACTCTTTTTTAACAATCTCATTTTTCACACTGCAGTCTATGAGCAGGTGGCATGAAACCCAACCCATTACTAAAATGTCCCCCCAAGCACCTACCCAGGGTAGACGAACCCAGGTCAAGGGTTCACAACAGCATTCTGAACGTACCCACTCTGTTCTCCTCCTCCCTCAGCTTCTCCCCCAGCTTCTGGTTGTAAAGGTGCAAATCTGCCATCTGGTCTCCAAGTTTTGATGCCTGACTGAGGAGAGAAGAAAATGAAGCCAATTAAAATAAGAAACAACAACCTGGGAACATGTTCCATTTTGAGAAATGTTTTAAATACCTTAAAAAACAACTCTCTGTTCTTTAAAAAGTGAAAAATGAACTGCAGGCAATGATCTTCTCCAAAACATCAAAATAGTGTAAAATCACCCAAGAAGGGTAGGCTTCTGTTAAAGCCCAAGGAGATACTAGCATTTAAGGGTCAAATACTGAAAAAGTAATGTCAAGAAAAAAAAAAAAGCTCACAATTTTTTGTAAAAACAAATGTAAATCGCAAAAAAGAAAACAACAATCACACATCATAGCTGTGACTGCTCCCTGCCGCTGGGATGATATGTGCCTTTCGTCTTTTCATGAGTTTGCCTCTTACACCTTTTTTTAAACAATAAACATACATAACTTTGGAGCTCCCCAGGTAGCGCTACTGGTAAAGAACCCGCCTGTCAGTGCAGGAGACATAAGAGACTCAGGTTCCATCCCTGGGTGGGGAAGATCCCCTGGAGGAGGGCATGGCAACCCACTCCAGTCTTCTAGCCTGGAGGATCCCATGGACAGAGGAGCTTGGCAGGCTCTGTGGTCCATAGGGTTGCACAGAGTCAGACATGACTGAAGCGACTTAGCATGGCATAACTTTCATAATTAGATTTTAGATAATTACTAGATCAGACCTCACTGCCCATACTGAACAGGCACTGGTGTCCACTAAACACAGAGTAACAGATGGTTCAAACGTGCTCATTTGGTGCAGCTTTGTAAAGCCAAACTAGCCTCAGCCTGGCCCTGCGTGGAACACAAGAGCTCCTGTCTCCATCAGGGAGGCAGGTGTGGCTCTTGGCCCTGCCTCTGCTCCTGTACTGAGTGATGTGGGCAGCTCAGCAAGAGGCTGTTCCCTCCGCCTCTTTCTTGTCTCCCTCTCTCTGTCCCTCTGTCCTCCTCTCTCTGTCTCTCTTTCTCTCTCACACACACACTCTCTCTGTCTCTCACCTGCTCAGGCCCCTCATCTTCAGATGCTCCATCACAAAGGCAGCCCCGCCTCCAGGCAGGTCAATCACCTTGATGGGCCGAGGCACCCGCACCAGGCCAGTGCTCCGAAGAGCCTCCAGGCTTGCCATCTCCCCCTCAAACATCTGCCGGGCCTGCGTCCAGAACACGGCCGTGAGCTCCGAAGCCAGCCGCGGCTCTGCAGCCAGACTGAAGCCACCACAAGGAATCACAGTGCCAAGACCTCCGGATGCTGAAAACTGACTGGAGAGCGAGGCATCCGCCCCGCAGAGAGCGGGATGCAGGTGGCCCCCTTCGGATAGGAAGGGGCTACAAAGACAAGGTTGTGCGGGGAGCTTGGGGCGGACAGGATGCTGATGTCTGCAGCAAGCACCTGCCCTGAGAGGTGAGGAAGCACAGGCCGTGGGTGGGAGGGGGCCGGGTTCTGGAGGTGCTGGGGGAACCCTGATATGCTGGGAGCACCATGGAGATACCGTGGGGGCTGTTGGGGTACTGGGAGTATCATGGGAATACTGTGAGGTGCTGGGAGGCCATGGGGTGTCGTGGTAGACCAGGGGGTGCTGGGGTGCCACAGGGTGCCACGGGGTACTGGTGGAGCAACTTGGAGTGCAGGTTAGCAGAGGATCCAGGGTAGGGCCTGGGTACCCTTCCAGGTTACGTGCCCCCACGATGTCTGGGGCACTTACAGCAAATGAGGGGCAGCATGGGGCAGGATGGGAATGTGACTGGGGCACACACTTGGGGCATGGGAAGCCAGGGGCTGGGGGGGTCAGCTGGGCCTGGACTTGGGTCCAGGGCCAGTCCCCAGAGGCAAGCACCCAGGAGGGCCTGGGGGCTTGGAAGGAGCCATCTACCCCACCCAGGAAGAAGACAGTCATGCCCCAGGGCAGCAGAACAGCCTCCACCGGGACCAGGGGTCTTCCCACTTCTGAAACATTTTGCACAAATATCCCAATTTTAAATTAGGTGAACTCTCACTTCAGGTACACTACACCTGGGTTAAAAATGTGTTTGTTATAAATATGATTTGTGACTATCTCTGGCTATAGAATTAACCCTTGTGAACAAGACCAAAACATCTATGTCCACTTAAGAAAAGAATCCCATCTTTTAATTCAAGTACCTGAGGGGAGAACCTGCAAGACGTCCTAACTGCCAACACCTAGAATCATGGAGTGGGGTACCAGCGACCCTCAGTCATGCTCCAGGATGGGCTCCTAAACACACAGGGGCAGCCAACACCTGGGCTTCAGGTTGCCTACGTCCTGAGGGCTTCACCCGTCCCCTGTTCTCATGTATTGATTGAGCACCTACTGTGTGCCAGCACTGAAGGTTTCAAGGGTAAATAGTAGGATCCCAACCTGGAAGAGCTTTCAGGAGCCAATGTGAACCTTGAACCCAATAATGCTTCCTGGTAGGTAGCACTGAGTTATTTGGACTCTGAAACCAGACTCTAACAGATCCCAGCGCCAACGGAGCAGGGACAGCAGACCAACACCAACCTACTGTCCATCCTAGACGTGGGCGGTGCTGCAGGGAGACTGGAGGGTCCACCCACTGCTGCATCTCAAAGGGGCTTGGCTTTCGGGGCCTCCCTGGAGTCCCCCACCAGAGTCAAAGGAACGCCATCCTTGGCATCCTCAGCACTTTCTGTGGGTGCACACACAGAAAGTCAGCCATATTGACTTTCTCAACCTGTGACTATATCTATGGAAATATACATGGAAAGTATATGTAACAGCAATATTTTAGGCTGACAATGGAAATCAGGTCCAAACACAAGCAAGGCCTGTGAGTAGAAGAGCAGGGACCTGGCCCTCAAGATCGGGCAAGGGTCCCTCCTGCCTTTTTCCATCTGCCCAGGAGGACCCAGCCGCTAAGGAAAATGCAGCCTAGAGCTGGGCCCCAGGGGAGCTGCAGAAGCAGCTCAGGACCCCAAGCCTCACCTCCTCCATGTTTGATGGGTAGGGAAATTAAAACAGACACCGAAAACGCCTGTGCATCCAGGCAAAAGGGAGTAAATTAACCCCGCAGCAGACAGAACCCTGGAATCGTGCAGAAAACGCTTGAGCCCTCCTCCCCCGGCTGGTGCCAGCCCTGCAAGTCCGCAAGCTGACCCCGCGGCTATGACGCCAGGGTTGGAGCGGACCAGACCATAGCGCCCCCTTCCCCTGAGCCCCGGGCCCCCTCGCCCCGCTCCTCCCCTCTCCCACTTCCGGCAGCCCTCCCCTCCCCGCAGCCCCTTCTGCTTCCAGCTCCGGAGGCGGGCTCAGGCCGCTAGGGAAGAGTGCGGTGGGATGGGATGGGTGAGGGGCACGCACCAGCGTCCTGTGGTTGATCTTGACAAACACCGGGCCGGCATCTGTGTCATAGGCGCGCCCCTCGCTGATGCAGCCGGCCCCGGGGCTCCCGAAGGCGCGCAGGGTAGCGGTGCGCAGCTCCGCGCGCAGCAGCTGCTCCATGGAGGCGGGGGCAGGATGGGGGACGGAGGACACGGGGACACTGGGGGCCGGGGACCGCGCAGAAAGCGGGCCCGAGCTCAAGCTCACCGCTGACGCTGCCGAGGCAGCCGTCCGCCGCGGGGGAGGCTCACGCTCTGTGCGGCCTACGGGCTCCCAGCGGCTCCCAGCGCCCAGATGTCCTGCCTCCGGGTCCGCCTCCGGCGGGGGCGGGCGGGGGCGTAAGGGCGGAGTGCAACCAGGCTGGGCAAGAGTTCCTTGTCTCGCACCCGAGGGCCAAGCGGGGTGGTCCCAGCCCTGGGGGAGAAGGGCGGAGCTCTCTGGTAGGGGACAGACTTGGAGGCGGTGCCCTCCCGTGTGTCCACAGTTCCTGAGCCTGGACCCGCGGGGGGTTTGCCCAGGCTCTGTAGGGCCTAACCTTCCCGCACTGAGGTTCTCTGAACCCTGCCAGGGCCTTGGCCCAGGCTCCTCCCACCCAGCCATACCGAGGACAGTCCAGGGGAGATTGCGGTCCCTGGGATGCAGGTCACAGGCCTAGCTCGGTCTCACAGCCTCTGTAGAAGGCTGCGGGTCTCCACCATGGCATGCCAGGCCCCAGGCATGCCTGGTGACACCAGTTGCTGGCACTGAACTTTCTCATCAGGGCACCTGGTGCCCATCAGAGATAGAGTGTGCCCTTGTGGTTCTGATACCCCACCAGAACCACAGGCAACTGACCCCACCCTGAGTGGGACTCCTGATTACAGAAACCAGCTGCCCCGGGAAGGGAGCTTCAACACACACATGTGCCCTGTGCTCACAGGCATGTATAAATGCATACACATGCCCTGGCACACACAGGCCCAAGAGCAGGTGGGCGGGAGACAGTGTGGCATCTGCAGGAAGGGCCTGACCTCCCCCTCGGCGGTCTCCCTCCTCCCAGCTCTTCCTCTCATCCTGGTTAAGTCCAGTCTCTTACTGCATCTTGAGAAGGAATCTGTGACAGCAGAGCTGAGCTCCGGCACTCCTGCAGATGCCTTGATTCTTGATGAGCAGTCCTGCTGGGTATGGAATTCTGGGCTATTCTTGCATCATTGAGATGGCTGTGCAACCTCACTTTCCAGCTCTTGTGCTGTTGAGAAGCTGGAAGCCATTTGGATTCTTATTCTCTGTGTGGAGATTGTTCTGTCTCTCTGGAGGTCCCTCGGTCCTCAACACCAGTACCTGACAATTCCTCAGGGAGGTGGCCGGGGTGAGTCTCCTCTGGGCAGGGCAGGTGAGCCCGTTCAGGATGGAAACAGGTCCTACACCCCTCCGAGGTTGCCTTCAGCTTTTTCTGCTCTCTTTATGATTCCCATTGTTTTCTCGGTCCTTTTGGAATTACAAATCTTTGGTCTAAACCCAGTCCCAAAGTTGCTGGGGTCAAGTGCCTGTGAGCTCTGCCCTCCAACCCCCTCCTGCCCCCTTTTGGGGGAGACGCTGGACTTGACTGAGCCCCATTCTGGGCTGTGGCCACAGTTTGCCCAAGCAGGGTGAACATGCCGGGTGGCAGCCAGGCATGGCACACCATCTTACTGGTCCCCAACCCAGGCACTGGGGCTACCCCCTAGGCCTCCCAGCTCCCATCTGAGCAGCCCTGGGTCTGAAAGCAGACTCCTCAGCATGAAGACAGGAGAGCACTCTGACACTGCGAACCAGCCCAGCCTCCCACACCTTTGGTTTATGGTCTGAAACAACTGGGAGATGTGACTCAGGCACATCCAAACAGCCCCTGACCCACTGTGGCCAGTCTCCTGGTTCTACTGTTTCCCCAAAAACCAGAATGATAGCTGCAAAGGTGCAGAAGGCACTTCTCAGCCCCAGGTGAGGCCCAAACTTAGGGAGCTGTTGCAAAAGTTCTCAGGAAAGGTATCTGGGGGTGTGGATCAGGGTGGTGGGCCGGGCCAAAGTACTGGGGTCACTAGGCAGAGGAGCGCCTGTCCTGCTCATTCAGACCCTTACCATGAACACCAAGTCCAGTGGCACTGAGAAGGAAAACAGAGCCCACAACCAAATGTGTCCCGTCACTCCATGTGGGGGAGGCTCAGAAGGGCGAGGGGGCGTCATGCTATTTAGAAAGGCAGCACCACGGAGGCAGCTGACAGCACGGCCCAAGGGCCATTATAATAGTCCATTCTGAAGTTGGGCAGCTGGGACAGGGGTTGGGGTTCTGAGGCCTGGCTGCCAGCAGGGCTGGTGGACGCCGTCCAGGTATCAAGGCTAGACCACCATCCTGGCTTCCAACGGAAGTGTTCTGGGTTCATGCCTCTCACCCAGACTCTGGGAAAGGGAGAGGAATTCTGATGTCGCTTCAGAATTCAGAGATGGCTGTGCTGGGGCGGCTGTTCCATGCCCTCCACAGTTCCCTACCACTCTGATCCCCGATCACTGTTTAGTGTATCCACATACTTCTGCCTAAGAGGAAACCCCAGCCAGGAGACAAGTTCTCACAAAAGGGACTTTTGGAAGCAATTTTACTAGAAGACCAGGAATTCCCTGGCAGCCCAGTGGTTAGGACTCTGTGCTTCCACTGCAGGGAGCAGGGTTCGATCCCTCTTCAGGGAACTAAAATCCCACAAGCAGCATGGCATGGCCAAAAAAAAAAAAAATTTTACTAGGAGACCATGAGGAGGACAGAGGAAATTGCCCACTCACCCCACCCTGGGAAACAGACTCTAGACATGCTGAGCAGTGCTTACAGGCAAGGTACCAACCAAGGAGTTAATCTCCAATAAATCCCTTGGGTATTGCTACCTGGCCCACCTTATTTTTAAAAAAATATTTATTTATACATTTAATTTGACTATACCAGGTCTTGGTTGCAGCACGGGGTATCTTTGGCCTTCACTGTGACATTTGGGATCTAGTTCCCTGGCCAGGGCTTGAACCCGGGCCCCCTGCATTGGGAATAGAGTCTTAGCCACTGGACCACCACGGGAGTCCCTTTACTGTTTCTTTATATTATTTTTATATTCTATTGGAATATAGTTAGTTAATTTCTGCTGTAAAGCAAAGTGATTCAGTTATGCATTTATATATATTTTTTCATACTCTTTTCCATTATGGCTTATTATAGGATATTAAGATAGTTTCCTGTGCTATACAATAGGACCTTGTTGTTTACCTATTTTACAGATAGTTGCTTGAATCTGCTAATCCCAAACTCCTAATTTATCTCCTCCTATCCTTTTTCCTCTTTGGTAACCATAAATTTGGTTTTTTTATGTCTGTTTCACAAGTAAGTTAATTTGTCCTATTTTCAATTTCACATATAAGTGATATCACACAGTATTTTGTCTTTGTCTGATGTACTTAGGTATGATAATCTCTAGGTCCATCCATCTTGCTGCAAGGTCATTATTTCATTCTTTTTTATGGCTGAGTAGTACTCCATTGTATATAGGTACATCTTTATTCATTAATCTGTTGATTGACATTTAGGTTTCCAGGTCTTGGCTATTGTAAAGAGTGCTGCTATAAACACTGGGGTACATGTATCTTTTCAAATTAGTTTTCACCTTTTCCAGATTTTTGCCCAGGCATGGGACTGCTAGATCACATGGTAATTCTATTTTTAGTTTTTTAAGGAACCTCCATACAGTTCTCCACAGTGACTGCACCAATTTACATTCCTACCAACAGTGTAGGAGGGTTCCTTTTTCTCCACATTCTCTTTAGCATTTGTTATTTGTAGATTTAACGATGGCCATTGTCTGGTGTGAGGTGGTACCTCACTGTAGTTTTGATTTGCATTTCTCTAATAATTAGCAATAGCGAGCATCTTTCCACGTGCCTGTTGGCCATCTGTATATCTTCTTTGGAGATATGCCTACTTAGGTCTTCTGCTGAACCCATTTTAGAAATGAAGGAGTCAAAGTTCAGGTAAAACTTAAGAGTCCCCTCACAAATTGATCTCCTGGCCCCAAGCGCAGCTTGGTTTCCTTTATACCAGAAGTGGAGGGTCTCCAGGCTTCTAAGACTGTCCACTAGGTTGGTTCCTAACTCCTCCAATAGGATGTCATAGACATATAGTCCTGTGTGATGCAGGTTAAGTGTTTGCTAGATTCACATCTGTTTAGCAAAGTGGCACTTTCTTCTGGAAGTTGGGTGCACTGTTCTCTGAAACAAACTGAACTTCTTTCCAAATGAGCATTTTCCTCCCTGATTTTGGCTGTAATATCCCAGATTCCCTCTGAATCCCAGACAGAATACATCCCACGTCAAAGTTGCTCAGTCATGTTTGACTCTTTGCAACCCCATGGACTATACAGTCCATGAAGTTCTCCAGGCCAGAATACTGGGGTGGGTAGCCTTTCCCTTCTCCAGGGGATTTTCCCAACCCAGGGATCGAACCCGGGTCTCCCACATTGCAGGCTCATTCTTTACCAGTTGAGCCACAAGGGAAGCCCACTACATCCCATAACATCATCCTATAACAGAATCCCAACCACTTACAAGTGTCTTTCTGACACCCTGCAAACATGAGGCTCAAGACAGCAACAGACAGGGCCCTCCGTGACCACCAACTTATCCAAGCTGTGGCTTTGCACAGCAAGACAGGACCTGTCAGAATCCCAGCTTTTTACAGTTGGGATCCCACCCAGGTCAAAGTCTCTTTTACAGGCATTCTCTCTCCGTTGTCTCAGTTCATATTCTGAGCAACAAACTGAGAATGAGCCCGAAAATAATCTCAAAACCCAAGCCCTGAAAACACACACTTCACTCCCAGGAGACTTCAGGCCTTTCCTCAAGTCTGTTCTGGACACCATCAGTTACATGATTTTCTGATATTTCAGAAGCAGCAAGTTAGAACTGAAGGAGGGGAAGGTGAGAGGATATGGGGACAAAGGGAAATGGTAAATGAGACAAAGGGAAAAGTTGTATGTGAAACCTTAATGACATTGATGATATGCCATAAACTGGGGAGGGGGTCTCTCAGCACCCCTGCACCCAAGATGCTGTCAAGGGCATAAACAGAGCACACAGCTGGCTAAGGCCCCTTAACATAAACAAATGACCTGAAACACTTTTAGACACACAGGGGGTTTGGACAATGAAGACTGATTACAAAGGCGGTAAAGGTCACGGGCCTCCTATATTTAAGGTAGAAAAGCCCATGTTTCAGGTCCACTTTCATCAAAAGGATACAAAGTAAGCAGCTTTGGGTGGAAAGCTAAACTTCGGTTATCTGAAGACTTTTTTCTGGAAGACTGATGCCCTGACAGCAGCAGATAACCAGATGTTTTGATATATTATTATTTTCAGTAAGATATAAGTGCCACTGTCCCAGAGCCAAGACCTGAGGCTATGGGCGCCTGGGGCAGCTCCCACCTCCCTGGGCCTCCCAGGATGCTCGACCACCTCAAAGGGCACAGGCCTGTCCTCTCGTCTCAGTGACCAAGGAGTGCAGGAGCTCCAGAGCTAGCCCCTGAGGGTTTAGTCATATTTCCCCCTTACTTAAGGGGTCAGCAGGCCACCCTGCAGGGACACCAGCCACATGCCTGCCCCTTGAAATCGTGCCTCTCTATCAAAACCTCCCCACCCCAATCCATTTGTGCCAGCCTATCCTCAGATGCACAGAGGGTCCTTCAAGAAACAGAACACTCCACAGACAGTAACTCTGGAGAGTCCAGTAGCCCTTGGCCTGAGGTCTACACAATTTTGGCAACCCTTTATATACGAATATTTACATACTTATGAATACAAAATGAGATGCCAAAGTAGTTATTTTAGAATAAACTACCGCAGCAAAGTGCAGTCTAAAAAGCTGACAGAAGGGACTTCCCTGGCGGTCCTGTGGTTAAGACTCTGAGCTTCCACTGCAGGGGGGAGCAGGTCTGATCCCTGGTCAGGGAACCAAGATCCCGCATGCCGCACAGTGCAACCAAAAAACAGCTGACAGATACTGCACCATCACAAAAGCTGGGAAACACCACAGAATTGTCACCTGAGTGCCTGCCACAGCTCTGAGATATGCCCCGACATCCATGTCTTGACCACACTGACTGGCTGCCCCCCTAAGATGACGTGTCCCAGGAAAGCTCTGGCCTTGGCTCTCCTCCCTGGTAATGTTGGGCTGACATGGCAGGGGAGCCACTGTGGGGCAGAAGCATCCGCTCCCTGCACCTGGCACAACCCCAAGACGACTCTCTTGGAAGGGGTCCACCATCCTCCTTGTCGGGAAGCCCCAGTGTCCTGTCCCTTCTCCGGCTGCCTCCCCGTTTTAGAACCTGTAAGGTGGAGTGTGGCCTGCAGGCAAGCCCACTGGAGCAGTTGTGTCCACCTCTTTGCAACTTCATGAACTGTAGCCCACCAGGCTCCTCTGTCCATGGACTTCTACAGGCAAGAATAAGAATACTGGTAGCCATTCCCTTCTCGAGATCTTCTTTCAGCCCAGGGATTGAACCCGGGTCTCCTGCAATGCAAGCAGATCCTATACCATCTGAGCCATCAGGGAAGCCACACCAAGGTCATAGTAAAGATGCTAAAATTCTGGCAAACAAGTCTAGGAATTACTAGGTTTGAAACTTTTGACAACCACAAGCTCTTAGAAGTCACAGTCCAGACAACTAGCACTCAAGTGAGAGGGACACGTGGGGACTGCAGGGTGGTTGAACTCACTGCTGGACCCCAGGCACAGGGCCCCCTCTATCCACCTGGTGAGATTTCTCAGCTCAGGGCCGGGGCCCCAGGAGGAGAAAGGGAGCCAGGGATGCCTGGTGAGGGGTTGGAGGGGACAGGTTTCTCCCCAACATGCCTCCTGGCCCAGGCTGGGCCTGATCTGGGGCACCCAATTTTGCTTGGAAATTTCACTGCAGGTGCCCTGCTGGGCCAACCTCAGACCCCGAGCCCAGTGAGGAATTTCCTCCGACCAAAATACATTCTTCCCGTGTCATCTTCAGTCAATCAGACACCCTTTGTGCATGGAGAAATTTTATTTATTTATTTTCTCATGCCACTGCTGCCAATACAGTGAAGAAACATCAATAAATGACAGTGATTTTTTTAAAAAGGTCACTGGGACATCCCTGGTGGTCCAGTGGTTAAGAATCCTCCTTCCAATGCAGGCGAGGCAGGTTTGACCCCTGGTTGGGGAACCAAGATCCCACTTGCCAAGGGGCCACTAAGCCAGCACGCACAAGGAAAAGATCCTGAGTGCCGCAACTGAGACTCAACGCAGTCAAAAAAAAAGTCATAATCCTCTCCCAAAAACCAAACTCTGAAGCCATTAGTTCCACTTCTGAATTCCACTGAGGAGCCCTGACCCAGAAACAAAAAACAGACAAGGGGCAAACATGGATGTATCCTCTTGGACCTTCGTCATGAGAAACTGTCCCCTCTAACACCAGTGTCCTCCAAGGCCCGAGCCAGAACTAGTAAGGGCCACCCATCGGCTTCTTCCTTGAAATGCAATTTGAGAGTTACTTTCAACCTCCCGTTACCATTAAGCAAATCTCATAAGGTGATGACAACAGCAGTTAAACTGGTAGCAGCAAGTCCTCAGGCCACACCTGCCCTTATCTGGAAGCTCTGAGCTTTTCTCTTACTGAGCAAAGTCAAGGGGAAAAAAAAAGTGTTTTTTTTTTAAGAAACAACAGTTGTATCTATTTATTGTCACATTAGGAGAGTTTCTTGGCAAAGGGCTATGATAAACAGAAGAGAATTTAAAGGAGGAAAATACAGTCTCACGCATCACTGAAGCCACTCAAAGTTTATTCAAATTTTTATGCAAAAGGATTTGTTAGCATCAATGGCATTCATGAACATTTCTCACCACTGCAAGACTGAAGGAGGGAAACCACTGCTGTAGTACTGGTTTCTACACTGTCGATGAATGACAGCTCACAAGCTATAAAAATGAGCAGGTCCAGCGGCAGCACAGGGAGGAAAGGGAGCGTATTGGGTTTGGAACTGGTCACCGGGAGGTGCTCCCAGGACAATGCCTTCATGTCCACAATCAAGTCTGACCCACCAAGAAGCATCACCCTGGATACCAGTCGCTCCTGCAGAGACGGGGAGCTGGTGGGAAGATGCCCTTGGTGGCAGTGCCTGGCACTCTGGCCACCTCCCTTCTCTACCTTTGGGGCAGCTGTGGGTTAAATGCAACCCACCCTCCATTGGTCCCTTGGTTCACACCAATTTCTAGTGCAGTTGCATCCAGCTATGAAGTCTAACTTTAGGGTGATAAAAGCTTTCTTCTGAGATGTCACATACTTTATTTATGAGGCTGGGAAAATTGGTCTGAAGCTATCCCAGGGTAGGAGAGGCTGGCCACAGGGGTCCAGTTAGGATCTGGCATTAGGACCAGGACTCGGGCCTCCCTCCCGAGCTCAAGTGATGAGATTCCTCATGATGCTGAGGGAGGACCCTCTGTACCCGGATCCAAAGTGATTCCAGTGGTTCAAGTAGTGGAAGAGCTGATACAGTTTCAGGCGCTTCTCGAAGCCTGGGGCCTTGGGGATTTTGCTGTGGTAGGCAGAGTAGAAGGCGCTACTGAAGCCCCCGAACATGCCGGCTATTGCCAGCTCATACTCCGAGTGGCCATAGAAGGAAGCCGGGTCAAAGATGATGGGCCCAGAAGAATCCTCCGCTACGTTTCCTCCCCAAAGGTCTCCGTGGAGCAGGGCTGGGATGATGTCCAGATCACGGAACAGGTCGGGGATCTTTAACTGCCGGGGTAAATGCAGCCTCAGCAAAGTGATGGATGCGTGCGGGAGGGACACATGGGCTTTTGTGAGTGCGGCTCCTGGTGCCTGGTTGGTGCACAGACACGCCCGCCTCCCGTCCTGACCCAGACCAAGGTGGCTGTGTTGGCCACAGCACCTGCAGGACATGATGGACACAGGCTGGGGGGAGGGCGCGGGGAGACGGACACTCACCTGCAGAGCAGCCCAGAGCTCGCGGGCCTCCCTGTCCCCAGACCTCTGCTCCACCAGATCCATCTGGGGCTGAATGCGCTGCCGGGCGTAGAAAGTGACCCAGTCCCGCTGCCAGTCGTTCACCTGTGTGGGCGGCAGCAGAGCCGAGGGGAAGGCGCCAGAGCCAGGCTGGGGAGGGCTGACCCCCAGAGGGGCCACCACAGGGGCAGGTGTGAAGCAGGGGAGCTGACCCAGCAGCCTGGGGTCTGGAGGACGTGCAGGGACAGCAGGCTCCTGGACAACCTCCCACAACATCTCAAGATCTGAACCGAGTGGACAGTGCCCTGTGGCTTACTCAGTGCTGCCCTCCCAGGAAGCCGCCTGCTTTTCCTCAGAGGGCGCGGCCGCCATCCTACCCACTCAGCCCAGGGCTGAAACCCCCAGGGCAGCCAACCTCAGAATCATAGAACCCACAGTTACAGTCCCTTTCTATTATGCTACCTTTGAAAGTCTCCTATTTAAGATCAAACGCAGTTTAACCTTCTAATTTTCAGCCCCCTTGGTATCCAGCATCCTAACCTGCTAGTCCTTCCTGGCTCCTCTGAGCTGACCTAGCATGAGGTGGACACTCTCCATGCCGACCTCTTTACATTAGCAAAGAAAAAAAAAGGAGCAAAGACCTTTTACCAAATTTCACCAAAAGAGAGGGTGCTTCTAAATGGCTGACACAACTGGGAAATGCAGGCAAAGTGCTGGTGTCACTCACCTGGGGGAGGTACCCGCAGCACGTCACCACGTCAAACCCGAACTGGGCCACGAAGGGCCGCGCCACCTGCTCATCTCTTCTCCCTTGCAAGCAAAAGGAAACCAGAGAGATGACAATCCCCCTGCTCCCTTGGGGCCTGCTCTGGGAGCCCAGAGAAGCTCTGAGGCCTGACCTCAGCGTGCCCTTCTCCACCTTGGGTCCTCTTCCAGAAACAGACAAGGGTCCTGGCCTCCACACACTATCAGGGCCCAGAATAGAGCTTGCCCCATCAGAGTCAACGATCCCGGACACCCACTGCTTCCCAGGAGAGGCATCAGAGGAGCGACAACAACCCTGTGTCCCAATAAGGAGGGAATCCACCCCATGACCCAACAGGAGAGAATGGCTTCCAGTGACCACTTTAGCATCTTCCACTTATGGGAGATAAGCAGCTGTGCTTGTAAATGGTCATCCTCTGCAGCTTCCCAAACTCAAAGCAAATCCTGAAGGCCTGAACTACATGTGGGTGGAGGCGACAAGGCTATCTTTTCTAACTTATTTTTTATTTTTTGGCCATATGTCGTAAGGGATCTTAGTTCCATCCAAGGATTGAATCTGTGCCCCCTGTAGTGAAAGAGTCTTAACTGCTGGATCTCCAGGGAATTCCCCTAAGACAGTAAGTTCTTTGTCATCTGTTCCTGCTGTGTCTGCTACTTTGCCAGGCGGAGAAACCATCTGGGCTACAGGTGAATTCTCCAATGTCAAAGGATGAAAATCCTGGAAGACACCCTCAGCCCTAAAAAGGTCAGTTGTGAGGGCTCTCATTCTGAGCCTCGTGTGTGACTGTTCCTAGAAGAAAAGGCACGGTATGGTAAGCCAGAGAAACTTCAATAGGCTTTCCTCTGGGGAGTGTGAGATCAAAGGAACTATAATATGATGGAGTTTCGAGTTCCAGAAATATTTCCTGTCTTTCAAATGCATTTATGAAACAACACACTAGTCGCATTCACTGTTTACTGCACACCAAATATGCAGCCTTGGGTTTACATTCCTTTCCTGTGGCAGCAACACAGGTCTGACCACACACAGCAGCAGCACAACTCTGCCCACACACCCATACTGGCCAGGTGTCTTCCTCTGTTTGGTGGGGGGTGTCCCCTCGGGCCCACAGCCATACCTACTATGCCAGCCTCCTTCTGGAGAGTCTCTCCAAGCCTCTTGTTGTCTAGATGTAGATCTGCCAGCTGGGTGCCAAGCTTTGCAGCATGACTGTGAAACCAAAAGGGAACCACTAAACACGTGGCACAAATGGGGGCCCACCTGTAATTGAAAGATCTCAAGCGACATGAAGCAGGTGAGGCAGTGAGAAGAGAGTCTGTTCTGGTGAAGCAAGGGGGAACGGAGGACCTCATTGGAGCCTGCAGTCAGGTCCTCTGTCAGCATCTCAGCACAAGACTACTCTCCTGTTTGCCTTTGGCCCTCACAGTACATGCTGCTCATTCTGCAGGACCCAGGGATGTGTGGGGTCACGGGTTTCTTCTATCACATCCTGCAGAATTGTACCCCCAAATGCAAGCCTCCCACTCAGAGGAAGGACAAAGCCCCGCAGAGGTGAAGCTGCCAGGACGCACCTGCTGAGATGCCGCATATCCAAATGCTCCATCACCAGCATGCTGCCGCCTCCTGGGGCATCAAGGACCTTGATGGGTTTGGGCACCTTCACTGTGCCTGTCCTTAGGATGGCAATTAAACTTGCCACCTCACCTTCAAACATCCTTCTGGCCTGTCAGAGGAACAACAAGGGAGGGGAGAAGGAGGGATAGCAAGTTTCTGTGTGGACGTGTTTTCTCCAGCACCACAACCAAGGCTCTCTGACTGCAGACTCAATAGAACGGACAGCTTTTCCACTTTTTAGTAGAGCAGATTATACTTTCTGAAGCTTCGTGGGAATTAAAGAAAGGGATTGTGCTTGCCAGTTTTGTGTATGTTTATGTTGTCATTGGGCTTCCCAGGAGGCACAGTAGTAAAGAATCCACCTGCCAATGCCACAGACAGATTTGATTCCTGGGTCATGAAGATCTCCGGGAGAAGGGTGTGGCAACCCATTCCAGCATTCCTGCCTGGAGAATCCCATGGACAGAGGAGACTAGCAGGCTATGGTTGCAAAAGGGTTGGACATAACTGAGCACATACGCTGTCATTGATCCCAATCTCTCCAGAGGGAGGAACCTATGCCTAGTGCACAGCTGGACTGTGTACATGGGTCATCCTCACACAGCACCTCAATCATAATCCTGTCCCACTGGGCCCTCAGGCACAGGTGGCCCTCAACTGCATGTGCCACCAAGCTGGTGACACTTCTCACCTGAATGGACCACCAAATCCTATGGCATCTCCTAGCACGGGACACTACTTCATCTCCATCGCCTTTCCCATTTCTAGTTCAAAAGTCCTTGCTCCTGCTTTTGGAAGGCAAATCTCACCCCGGAACACACCCCAAGCTGTCACCCCACTTCCCGAGTGACAGCCCACAGGGTCTGGCTCTGCCCACTCCCCTGCACCCTCATCTGGGCTCCTACCCAGGCTCCACCCCCACACTTATACGCCGGTGCACACACCCCTTTTTCTCCTGGATTACAGCCTCTCTCAGTTCCTCAGAGATCCCCAGCTGCCTCCAGCCTGGAGACCACCACATGCCATGTCACCTCTGCGTGGAATACCCCTCCCCATTCTCTCGCTAAGTCAGCCCCTTCCTTGTCATGCTTCACATTTCAACTTAATAAAAATTTTTATTTCTCAGAGAAATCTTCCCTAACTTACCAGGCTAGGTAATTCCTCCTCTTTAAAGTATCTTTTTTTTTTAAGTAAAATTTCTACAGACATATATGAAGAAAAATGCAAACTCAAAAGCATCCAACTCTAATTCTCCCAAAGTCAGCACATCCACATGACGGCCACCTGGCACTCCTCTCTGCCCAGACACTCCCACCCCACCAGAGCATCTGTCCGTCTGTTTTGTCATCTACACAGAGGCAGACGATCAGGCCTCTTCATTTCATGCTGCATTTGTAATGCTGGCGCATCAATAGAGTTTATTGTCCTTGTTCTGTAAAGCAGAGGTTCTAAAATGTGTTTGTTCAATGAAGGACACTGGGCTTCCAGTTTGGGTCCACTAAAAACAGTGACCCAGGATATTCTACTTCTATCCCTCATAGTTACTAATTCTGTGACCTTGGTTTCCTCATCTGTAAAATGAAGTTAATAACGGTACCAATTTCATAGGTTTGCTGCTGTAATTAACTGAGTTAGCAGCTAACAGTTAACACAGTCCATTCTAAACACTTTACAAATTATTAGTATACTACCTTGGAGAGCTAAGGTTGCTGAGAAGTAAGATAAGAACTGTGTCTTACAGAGAACTTTCATAGCATTCTCTGAAGATGAAGGAACACACCTGGGCCCAGGATGTACTTGGTACTAAAGCACTGCTGTGCAGCATAAAGCAAGGAATAGAATTTTAAAATTTTTTTAATAAAAAATAAAAAATGCAGGGAGAGGTGAAGAAGGGTCTGTGAACCCAGCTAGAGGCAAGGCTCCCTCACAGAAGTGTCTATTACCACAGTCCTAAGTGTCTAACCCTAAGACCACTCCTTCAGAGTGGGACCAGGGCAATGTAAGCATCAGTTGGGGTGCAGAGTTACAAAAGATCCAGGACTTAGAAGAGGAACATGAGAGAAAACCAAATATATAAGCATGCAAAGGACAGATAAGCATAACGAAGAGGAAAAACTTAGACCAGGTCATTCGAGCAGAGAGTGAGAAGGAAAACAGAAGAGCAGCCATGTAGTCTTCTCTTAGAAGTCCAGAAGACATTTTCACCTCCTAAAATACAAAGCATAAAGACAGTCATATTTTCCATACAATCAGCAAATGTTTCTGCTATAGCTGGTACATCTGCATAACTCACACAAGTATCTATCCAAGCAAACTAGAAAGAGACCTGTTTGAAACTATATACCAAAGGATTAGAAAGAATTTATGTGAAGACTAGCAAAAATAAAATAGACCCTGATGACAAAATAAAAAACAAGAACTAGAAGAAATAGTAGTAGAAGGACAATGTTTAAAAAGCGCTGCTGAGCAGTTCCATTTTAATCGCTGGAAAGCATCTGCTTCCCTGTAATCCATACCAAGTTTTGAATTATTACAAATGCTAATGACAGTGAAAATATAGACATGAAAAGGACGGAACCACATAATAGAAAAAGAACCCTGAGAAGGCCTGTGATAGAAAGTAAGGAAGGACACCTCCATTACATTAGTACTGCTTGGGAGAAACCAATGTGAAAGAGCAACTTCAAGGGCCGTTATTTGCCAAATTCCTATAGAAGGGATGTACAGAATGACATGCAGCCTATGGCAAAAACCACTACAATGTTGTAAAGTAATTAGCCTCCAACTAATAAAAATAAATGAAAGATAAATTAAAAAAAAAAAAAAGAATGACATGCAGCCGATCCCTGTACAACAAAGAGTTGAGGGCTGGTCTTGAGATATCAGCATCAATCCAGAAAGGAGATCATCCCACACTATGTAGGGTGGGATTCTGCAAGTGTGATTTCCAAGGAAAGGATAGAAGCGCTAAGGGTGTGCAACACACAGGACCTAGTACTGGGGTCACAGCCTTCAGCCCTATTTGAAACAAGGCATTGCCAGTCCTGCTCCCTGCCTACTAGAGGCATCTGGGACCTCCCAGCTAACACTGCGGGCACGACCCACCCAAAGCGTGCAAAGAAGGGACATCCCGGAGTAAGTCAACTTCAGCAGGGAGGCTCACCTATTTTATACGGGAACCCTTGAGAAAACGTTCAGGTACCAACAGAATGGAGGGGTGGCCCTAGGGACGGAATGTGGCCCCGGAAAATTCATAGGTTGAAACCTAACCCCCAATATAATGGTGTTAGGAGGCAGTGCCTCAGGAAGTGACCAGGCCAGAGGGGTGGAGCCGTCATGGGAAGATTAGAGCTCCTCTAAGAGACCCCAGAGAGCTCTCCCGGGCCTTCTGCCACATGGGGCCACGGGGAGAAGTGGCCTTCACACCAGGAAAGAAGGCCTCACCACGTTCTTGGACGTCCAGACTGCAAGACCAGACCCCCAAAAACACGCGTTCGGGTTTAAAATCGCCTAGAGTGTGGTAGTGTTACTACAGGACGAAGGCCTGAGGACGAAGGCCAGGGCTACATTACTGCCAATACTCAGAAAGGGTTTTGATCTTTGCAAGTTCAAATAAATCGAAAGACAAGGGGTTTCTGTTACCTGTCCTTATTCAAAACTCGCCAAACAATGGACTTTCAAAGCAGCGGCCACCTGGGTCGCGCGGGAAAACCACCCACAGCGTCCAAGTGGCGACAGAGGCCCGCGCCGGACCGGCCTGGACCCGCACCGACCTCCCGAGGGTTCGAGGGGCCGCAGAGCTGAGCCGCGGAGGCCGAAAAAGTCCAAGCCGGCCCGACGACGACACTGGTCACCCAGCGCCTTTTCAGCCAACAGCCCAGGCTCGGACCGGCTCCCGACACCGAGCCCGGCCACGGACCCCAACTCCAGACCGGTCCCCACCCACGAGCCCGGACCACGGCCTGGGAACACAGACCCTCGGCCCGGCCCGGCCCCCCAACCCGCACCCGCGGCGACCCTGACCTCCGGCTTGGGGTTCACTTTCACAAACACTCGCCCTTTGTCCGTGTCGTAGCTCTGGCCCTGGCTAATGCATCCGCCACCCGAGTGACCCGTGGCCTCGACGGAGTCGCAGCCCAGCTCCCGCTTCAGTAGCTCCTCCATGTTCCCCGCCCCAGGGCCGCGGACCCTACTCAGGCCTCGGGCCCACCTCTGGGCCGCCGACCCGCCTCAAGCCGCACGCAGGCGCCGCGACGCCACGGCGGCGCGCGGGGATTGGTTGAGGGGCGGGACCAGGCCGGAGCGCGCGAGGATGAGGGGGCGGGGCGACGTGCGGTCGGGGCGGGGCCGTGTCGTGCTCCCGCAGTCCCCAGACCCCGGTGACTCTCCCTGCCAGGGGCCTCGCCCTAGCCTTTCCCCTGACCTGACCTGTGACCTGCCCGTGACACTGCGTCCTGCTCCCGCCCCTCATCACCTCCACCGGCTCCAGGTCTGAGCATCACCCCTCCCAGGGACTTTCTCGACCTGGACGCTCCTGTAACACCCTACGGGATGCTGCCGTTTCTGTTTGTTTGTTTGCAGGTGATTATCCAATTGGGCTTCCCAGGTGGCGCTAGTGGTAAAGAACCCTTCTGCCAACGCTGGAGACCTCAGAGACTCGGGTTCGATCTCTAGGTTGGGAAGATCTCCTGGAAAAGGGCATAGCAACCCACTCCAGTATTCTTGCCTGGAGAATCCCATGGAGAGAGGAGCCTGGCGGGTTACAGTCCGTGGGGTCACAAAGAGTCGGACGTGACTGAAACGACATAGCACCCACGCATCCAATTATCTTCAGTCTCCCAAGTAGATTTTAATGATTTGAGGTTTGAGGGTTGAATAAAGTCTTTATTCCGTCGACTGAAAAAAACAAACAGCCTAAAAGTTGAAACTCATTATGTTTTATTGGAGACACTGCTGCTGCTGCTGCTACTATTAAGTCGCTTCAGTCGTGTCTGACTCTGTGCGACCCCATAGACGGCAGCCCACCAGGCTCCCCCGTCCCTGGGGTTCTCCAGGCAAGAACACTGGAGTGGGTTGCCATTTCCTTCTCCAGTGCATGAAAGTGAAAAGTGAAAGTGAAGTCGCTCAGTCGTGTCTGACTCTTATTGACCCCATGGACTGCAGCCCACCAGGCTCCTCTGTCCATGGGATTTTCCAGGCAAGAGTACTGGAGTGTAGTGCCATTGCTTTCTCCGATTGGAGACATTACTGAGGACTTAAGCTGGGAAGATAGCCTCTCCTGTGGTTCTGAGGGACTAATCAGAAGAGGGAAGGGAAGGGCAAGGATGTATAGACGTTTTTGCAAAAAACAAAACAAACAACCCACACCAAAACAACAACAACAAAAACAAGTAGTCAAACATCAAAAGACTTGCTAATTAAAGAAAACCAGACATCTCAAATAAATGAAGCTGGTGCTATTCTGTGTATGTTTGTGCTCTTAATGGCTCAGTCGTGTCTGACTCTTTTCCACCCTTTGGACTGGAGCCTGTCAGACTCCTCTGTCCATGGGATTTTTCAGGCAAGAAATACTGGAGTTGGTTGCCGTTCCCTTCTCCAGGGGATCTTTCTGACCCAGGGATGGAACCTGTGCATTGCAGGCAGATTCTTGACCTGCTGAGTCTTCAGGGAAGTCCTATTCTATGTATAGGAAGATGCAACAGTCTGAGCTTAGTGAAACAATTCCTTTGATACATACACCCTAACTATCCAGGGCCAGTATTCTGTGTTCTCCATCGTGAATCTCCTCAGGGTACACAGTTGTGGGGAGGCAGGTGGCTTTAGTAGCTAAGGGCTTGATGGCCTCAACATCTTTTGTTCACTGGTACAGCAGGTGGCATTCTTTGTCTACAGATCCATGTGTCAATCAGCAATCTCCAGAGAAATCGAATCAACAGGGTGTGTGTGTATATATAGAGGGGGGTTTATTTTAAGGAATGGCTGTGAGGATTAATGAAGGGAAACCTGTTTAAAATGGAGTGGGAAGGCCAAAAGGGAGAGCTCTCACACAGTCTGCCCAGACCCAGCCTGAAGGTAAAGATGAGTCAGCAAGTGCCATTGCCTTGGGGCCACTCAGGGTCAAGAACAGGAAAAACTGTCAATTACAGACCCCAACAAGAAGAATCATCAACAGGAAAGAATCCTCAATTAAATGTGCCTCATCAGGAAAGGTGTTCTTTGCATCTCCTACAAGAAATCAATTACCAAGTCTACTCAGCCAATGAAAACCAGTGATTACCCTCAACTCTCACTTTCTTCAGTGGTGAAGTCGCTCAGTCATGTCCAACTCTCTGTGACCCCATGGACTGTAGCCTGCCAGGCTCCTTCGTCCATGGAATTTTCCAGGGAAGGATATTGGAGTGGGTTGACTTTTGTTCAAAACAACCCCTCCAGCTTCCTCCTTTCTGTCTATAAATTAACATTCCTCTCCTTTGTTGGCTTTGTCTGCAGCTTTTTCTTCTCCCGAATTGCAATGCTTTGCTGTTCTGAATAAACCCATTTTGCCCGTATACCAACAAGATGTTTTCTTTTTTAGGTTAACAGGGCTCACACAACTGTGGAGGTAGCAGTAGTGTAGTAGTGTAGTGTTAGTTGCTCAGTCGTGTCCAACTCTGCGACCCCACAGACTCCAGGCTCCTCCGTCCATGGGATTCTCCAGGCAAGAATACTGGAGTGGGTAACCATTCCTTCCTCCAGAGGATCTTCCTGACCCAGGGATCAAACCTGCATCTCCTGCACTGCAGGCAGATTCTTTACCGTCTCAGCTGCAGGGAAGTCCTTACTTGTGGAGAGACAAGGTCAAAATCTGCAGAGTAGACCAGCAGGCTGGGGGCCCAGGGCAGAGTCCTGTTGGCAGAATTCCTTCTCCCTCATGGGAGGTCAGTATTCTCCGCAGGCCTTCAGCAGAGTGGACATGGTCCACCCATCCTGGAGTGGGTAACTGGCATCACTCAAAGTCCCCTGGTTTAAATGTTAATCTCATCTAAAAAACACCCTCACAGAAGCATCCAGAATAATGTTTGACATCAAATATCTGAGCACTGTGCCCCAGCTGAACTGACACCTAAAATTGACCATCACATTCCCCATTGTTTCCCAGTGCTTACTTAGCATGATGCACAATGCCAGTTATGTTGTGGGCATTTACTGAGAATGTGCTAAAACAATGGAAGAATGAATAATAATTGAGGTTCTGAAGTTTGAAGAATTAAGGAAAAATCAGATAGTTCAGACCAACATTCCTGCTAAAAATAACCAGAATGCTGATTCAGACAGCTTCAATACGTATACAAAGCACTGGAGAGATGACAAGATAACAAGGACCATTAGCCCCTAATCTCTCTTCATACATACACCGGGGAGTTCTACCCTGAACCAGTGCTGCTGGCACCCTGACATCCAGCTTCCAGAACTATTCGAAAATACACTTCTGGACTTCTCTGGTGGTACAGTGGTTAAAAATCCACCTGCCAATGCAGGGGACACGTGTTCAATCCCTGGCCTGGGAAGATTTCACGTGCTGAAGGCAGCGAAAGCCGAGCACCTGAACTACTGAGCCTATGCTCCACAGCCTGTGAGTCACAGCTACTGAGCCCCGAGTCAGAAGTACTGAGTTTGCATGCTGCAACCACTGAAGCCCGAGTGCCTAGAGCCTGTGCTCTGAAATAAGAGAAACTTCCACAACGAGAAGCCTGTGCACCGCAACAAAGAGTAGTCCCCGTTTACCACAACTAGAGAAAGCCCACTCGCAGCAACGAAAAGCAGGCACAACCAAAAATAAAATAAACGAATTTTAAAATTTTAAATAAATAATTTTTTTAAATGCATTTCTCTTAAGTGCCCAATCTCAAATTCTATAAAGAACCCAAGGAAATAAAATTTATATTTTAAGGTAAAACAAGAAAATTTAGGCATAACATACTTCCTGCCCATAATGGGTCCTCTGTAATGTACATCTGCATTATATTAATACATTAACTGTGCATGCTCAGTTGTGTCCGACTCTTTGCGACCCCATGGACTGTAGCCTGCCAGGGGTCTCTGTTCATGGGATTTCCCAGGCAAAAATACTGGAGTCGGTTACAATGCCCTCCTCCAGGGGATCTTCCCAACCCAGGGGTCGAACCCACATCTCCTGCACCTCCTGCATTGGCAGATGAATACTATACCTCTGAGCCACCTGGGAAGTCCATACGTTAACTAGACCTCCTCAAAGCTGGGAATGCTGGCCTGACTGTAAATATCTTTTTTTTTTCTACTTCTGATACCAGTAATGTAACTCTTTGGAAGATTAATTTTTTCCTTTCTTAATTCTGTAAGGGATCATGGATCTACTCTGTTGAACCTGTTCATTAGGCTTTAAATTTTTAATATTATGTTTTTATCTCTAAAAGCTCTTTTTGGTTTGTCAACAGCAACAAAAAAATGAATCAATAGTCAATTTAAAGAGGAAATAGAGAATTCTAATCAAGCTGACCTGAGGACTATAATCTGGGGCACAGTCTTTCAGAAAGCTTTGAGTCTTATTAGAAGTTGAAGGCATAGTCACACATACAAGACCTAGTGCTTGCCTGGACATGCAGATCTGGACTATACATATTTGGTGAAGTTATGTCTCCTACACTCCTGGCAGATTCTTTACCAACTGAGCCATCAGGGAAGTCCCCGATAACACCATAGTCTCTCACAAAAGTCAGGAGAGTGGTTGGAACAGATGTTGTTGGTACCCCATACATAGGCCTTCGACATTCACTGATATTCACCAGCCCAGGGATTCCAGGATCTGGCTCCTGGGACTGTGCAAGAGTTTTCTTTACCCCTGGTGCTGGCCCAGTCCAGTGGCCCCAGGAGCAGCTATCTCTGAGGCTGCCCCACTGCTAAAGTTCCCCAGAGGGATGCATTCCAGTTAACATCCTTTTCTGACCTCCTGGTTCACTTTCCCACCCCCACGAAGGCTTCCCAGGGTCACCCTCATGTAAGCTATTTGCACTTGCACCTTGTCTGTTCCTGACGGAGCCCACCTCCGAGACAGTGGTTGCAGCCACGCAGGAGGGAGGGTGTTGTATTGGGGAGGTATGTGCGCAGTTTCTGGCGCACCAGCCATGCTGTATTTCTTGACCTGTGGG